GAAAAACTCATTCTGCTCACAACTACACAAAGCCAAAGTGATATATGATTTATAACTTGGTTAACATATACCATTACTATAACAAAGACCAAATTTCTGCTACAAACACTATTTTGAAAAAAGTTTGTTCATCTTGTGGCTGCCAGATGGTTCTGATAATGTTTATTTATGCAACCAAAAAAATCCCCATTCATTAGCATTTTATAAAGCAAACTAGTTGATAGCCCATTCATAACAAGATTTGTGCATGCAAATTTACAATATATACTGTCTAATAACATTAAAGAAAAATATCAGTCTTGACCAGCCAAGCACAAAGTAAGTATTTCAGACTTAAACAAATAAAACATATTTGTGCAAAGGAAAGATTTTTGTTTCTAATATTATGTAGAGATTCCTACCATACTTTCACGCTCAAATTTTTGGAAAGGCATGAATTCACACTTAAAAAACTATATGTAAGCGATCCCATCAATGAAGTTATGATCGATAGAATCCTTGCTTGATGACTATTTGACTATGGAAAATTCAAGAAAACACAACATGTAAAGCAGTCGCATTTGAATCCATTGTAAAAATTATTTTGAAGACAGTTTTATAAAGTCTGTTCCTTTTTTTGTTAGGGAATCTCCATTCAAAACTGAATATTTTAAGTTGACAAGGGTATGTGACACTGGTATACTGAAAATGCAATGTGAGCCAAAAAATTATGAATACACAAATAGATTTGATAATTGGTCACACTAATTTTGACTGTCTGACTTCCAGTGAAATAGACATTGTTTTTAATTGAAATGTGATTTGCTACCTGCTGCTGATTTCTCTTATCTTTAAAGTTGGTGTGACCAATTGGAGATCTATATCCTTGAGAAGGAGGCTGCATCTATCCTATACAGCATCTGCAAGTAGCTCTCATGTCTCATTGCAAAGTGGCTTAAGAAGTAGTGAGATTGAGACATTAGACTTGTCAGATGGCTCAAAATCTTATAATAACACAAAATATGCTGAAGAACACTTTGAAGAAGAAGATATAGATGAGATTGGGGTTAAGAGTGGAGTAGAGGAAGTCAAAGCTCCGGAAAGGAAGCAGAAAAAAAGAACCAAAAACCCACTACCTTCGTTAACACTAGATGGCAGACAACTTACATTCGTTGAAGAGACCAAAGTAACTGCTGAAGTTGATGTGTTAATGAAGCATAATAGAGTAAGTATTTTTTATACCATGTTAAATTCATTTGAACAAGATGTTATTGTCATTGGAAATATTGTTTGAGTAGAAAATTAGAGTTATGTTCTTGTAGAAATTTCTAAATTGTTGTTTGGAAGCTTCATTCACTATCAGGTCAAAACATGAATCTTTTTGTGAAATTGCTTCCTTCCTGCCCTTGATAAGTAAGGAAAATGTACTTTGAATGATTTTGAGGATCTTTGCATTGGTAAATTTGCAGTAAAATTTTGATATTTGTCAAGTTTCTTTACTCCCTGCCAGTGAAGATTCTTAGAAAATTGTTAGAAAATATATTTATGTTTACACTCTTTGATAGGCAGCAGAGGCATTCCAGCTATTTAACAAACACAGAAGAAGAGGCCATAAATTTTCAGTTGAAAACTACAACCAGCTACTGCACTGCTTTGCAAATTGTGGAACATGGCTCCAAGTGGACATCTTGTTGCATAGTATGGTCTCCCAAGGAGTGAAACCAGATATTCAAACATATGCTGCTGTCATAGAAGCATGTTGGAAGATGGGAGAGACCACAAAACTTGAACAGTTTGTAAAACAGATGGGAAAAGATGTAAGTTTTCCCAATCTCAGGCATTGCTGTGGTTAAAGATAATTTGCAATTAATTTTAAGGACATCAAATATAATCTAGACACTCATGATAGACTGATATCACAAACTGTTTGTCCGCGATCCATGTCATAAGGAGAAAATCCACGCCAAAAGGAGAAAGAAAACACAGACCAATCAAAATCAAACGTGATTAATCGCAATCGGTAGAAAAAAGCAGCTTCTACCACCTAAGCCAATCAGAAGTCTGCATTTTCCCAAAAAATCGCATGACAGTGATATTGGCGCTAATCCTGATGACAGCGCATGGACGGGTGATAATCCTGCTTGATGCCTTTGATATTCCGCCTTCGCGGCAAAACACTGCATGCAACACAAAAAGCGTTTTTGACTTTTTCTACAGGACTTCGGGCGTGCTCTCGCGACACTTGCTATGCAGA